AAAGTTAGATTGAAGTTGACGGGTGGAGTCAACATTGTAAAGTTAAGATTGAAGTTGACCCGAGGTGAAGTCAACATTGTAAGTTAAGTTGAGTTGACCGGGTCGAAGTCAACATTGTAAGTTAAGATTGTAGTTGACCGGTGAAGTCACATTGTAAAGTATACAGAGTTGAAGTTGCCGGTGAAGTACATCATTTTTTCCATAAGGCTGTCTTAAATCTCCCTAGAGCGAGTATGTTACCGTCCACATAGATTGTGTGTTTGAAAGTAAGTTTGTTTAAGTGAGTTTTGGTTTCGTTAAACTGCAATGGTTCCACTCTCTTGAATGGTCTCCTTTTGGGGCGACCTCGAAAAGAGGGAGAGTGAGGTCACGAAGAATCCTAGGTGTCTCCCTGCTCTTTTGTTTCCTGTGGAGGAAGTATGGCGTATATACCCGACCCTTTGTCCAGTGCCGGCGACCACACGTTCTGACCTGCTAAACGCGTCTGGTATCAGATACGCGCATTTGTGTAACACCCCGAAGTCTCATGAAAAGGTAATTCAGCACATGACTAACTCATATAACAAAAAACATGAAAATAAAAAAAAAACTTTGAACAAATCCGCTGCAGAACTCTCGGAACTTTACACGGAAATATCTATTTTACATAATATAATAATGGCATATGGGTACGGTATATAGTAAGATTGGCATTTCACACCCAGAAGGACACACAAAAGTCTGTACCTAGAGTCTCTGAGGTGGTGGAGGGACCCTTGGTAGTCTAAGTCTTCGCACAAGTGGTAACGTCCACAAACGGAAGTGAGATGGACGGAGTGGACAGGAACACCGCCTCAGGACTTGCCATCAGGGCGGACGTAGAAGACGGACCACGGCTCGCTGAGCCCCGACCACCCACATTGGAACTTCTTGTACCCACCACCCGGCGAAGGAGTGCAGAGGTGGAGGCGGAATTACCAGCGGCTCAACCCCACGTGGGCCAGTTTAAGTTAGAATTTAAATGTCACAACTGAAGTGGGCCAGTTGAGGTTAGAATTTAAATGTCACAACTGAAGTGGGCCAGCTTAGGTTAGAATTTAAATGTCACAACTGAAGTGGGCCAGTTGAGGTTAGAATTTAAATGTCACAACTGAAGTGGGCCAGTTGAAGTTAGAATTTAAATGTCACAACTGAAGTGGGCCAGTTGAGGTTAGAATTTAAATGTCAGAACTGAAGTGGGCCAGTTGAAGTTAGAATTTAAATGTCACAACTGAAGTGGGCCAGTTGAAGTTAGAATTTAAATGGCACAACTGAAGTGGGCCAGTTGAAGTTAGAATGTAATATCATAACTGAAGTGGGCCAGTTGAAGTTAGAATTTAATGTAAGAAATGTAAAACTGTGAATTGAGGTTTTATATTAGAAAAGGACCACAGCATGATATATTTGTATGATTGTCACATTGTAACGAGAGAAGGTAAAAACCCTGTCAAAGTGTGGACCATTTTCTTCAAATAAAATCATCCCACCTTTTTGGATTGGGATAACTTAAAATAAATCTGCGCTCTCCTCTCCTGCTTAAAGGTAAGATTGCACAACTGCCACACTCACACTTAGGCAGGGCCACACCTCATTACTGATACCAGAATCCTTCGGGATCGCTTATACAGATTTAGTGCGTCGTCTGAATTGAAACAGCAGTTAATTGAACCTGGTTCTTCAGGAGTTAGTAGAGGTGAGACCTTGCTGATCCAGGTGGATCCGAGCCTGGCAGTAAACGTACATAGACTCAATAGCTTCTGTTAGGTCAATTAGTAGGTCTGAGTAATTGCCAGAATAAATTAACAGGCCTCCTGACTCCAACAAACCCATTGATCGATTTTGGTGATTGACACCTCTTTTGAACCGTTAGAGCCAATAGAATCGAGGGGGAGTTCCTAAATCCATCTAAACATTACCATTGAGGATTGAGAGTGATGCGCACGCAGTTTACCCAAACCGAAAGCTATGTTAAACTCTATAGAAAACTACGTTTATTGCCATAAATATGATTATGGATTAACCTTCAGCAGCGTTTTTCTTGTTTTAATGCCATTGAACACAACTTTTGATCTTGTTGTTTGGCCGCGAGTTCTGATCGCTCAGTGATGATACTTATATGTCTGGAATCTGTGGAATCTCAGCTTGCTAATCGATATCTTTTTTGTGCAGATCCGATAAGTAATAAGGGTATTTTACCTTGAGTTCTGTGCTAAGTGCGTTGGCATTTTTTCGCTCAGGGCTAATTCAGAGCCTTTGTCATTACCCTTTTGTTCCGTTTAGCTAAAAATGGTTGATATTGTCTGATAGCTGAGTTTCTTCCCGTTAAGTGGATATGACTCATAGTTTGTTAAATATTATGAAGCCCTCAGACGCTGTTTCTTGCAAGATGCTGCGTTTTGCCCCCGCCCGCGTGGCCGTGGGGTTTAACTGGTTAAAAGCTAATTAAATTCGACATTAAAGTGAGTAACTCTGGCTTTGTGTTGGAGTGTTGTGCTGCCAGCGTGGCCCTGACACATTACTTTGTGTGTCTCCGCTAGAGGGTGTGGTTTCTGAACACAGTGTTGTGAAGTTGTTCCTCACAATGAGCCTGTGTGACCACATGTGGGCATTACCATGAGTCACTCTTTCTGCCTGCGAGGATTCCTCTCACACGCTTTGCTTTGCTCCCTCTGAGGAACTTGCAAATAACTTTATGGACCCTTTATCGGACCCTGCATAGTGGGCTGGTTATTATCTCATCAGTTCAATACAATAAACACCAGGTTGTCTTTCCTTTTATTTGATATATAGATCCATATAATCATGAAACAAAGAAACAGTCAGCGGGGAAGCGGACATCTGTGGGCTTTTATGGGAGGGAATTTTTTTCTTTCCTACAGAATACAAGGCCCTCTCTGTCCTGGTTTTTGTTTACAGGAGTAATCATTTCTGCTTTACAGTTAATGGTTAACTTTACATTATCAGCATGGTAACTGAAAAAATAATGAGGGAGTACATAATGGAATAGGTGGCTTAGAGATTAAATTCACTGCAAGTGCCAAGAGTCTCCATCAAGGCTGCTTTTTAGAGTAAATAACCTATTCATGAATAGCCTTAGTTAACATAATTTAACCTAATGTGCTCCCTTTGAGTACAGCTCAGTGAAAACGCTCACCTTCCCCACTGATTGCTTGTAGGCCTCCTTGATGCGCTGCCTCTGGGCAATGGTGCGGGGGGCTAGGACCTGGATGACAGCTGCTTCATCAGTGCCTGAAATGAATAAAACACACATCTTATACTAATATTCATTTTAAATGTCTCAACTTGTACAATCATTAACAACTTGTCTTGGAGCTCAGTTTAAGAACAAGCTCTCATCCCTGGAGATGATCCTAACACTCAGTTGTTTGTTGGAATCGGCAAACAAACCATCTGTTTGCAATAGAGCTCAGCAAGAGTCAGGGGAAGATGATTATTCTAGCGGAACTCTAACAGCATCAACATTCCTGGCTTCAAATGTCCAGACAGAGAAAGAAATTAGATTAGTTGTGTACTCCTGAATGTTTGCGAGAATGCACAACTGTCTTTGAGTGATGCATACCTGCCAGCATAGTTTCAGAACAGTGCAACCCATAATGAGATTAGTTCACTATTTCTTACTGCATGATCAGCAAAGTCCAGATACATTTTCCCTCCATATCAGAAGTGAAGAGGAAGCTTCACGACAGAGAGAAGAGATGAGGCAAAGTACACAGCACTACTCAGTTGAATGAACGGGCTATGAAAACAGAAAGCTGCCATGACAACACTGAGCAACACTGAGTTTGGTTTCAGACTTTCCTGGAGAGGAGAGAGGCAGAAAATACATATCTTTCCCCATGGAGGCTTAATGACAGGTTCAAGATGTCTTCATCTGATGATGATTTCTGGATCACTCACCAGTTCCCTTCATGGCTCCTCTGAGAGCCTGGACATCTGCATCTGGGTTGAAACCAGCCGCCTCAGTCACTGTTCCACGGTTTCCAATCTGATTGTAAATAACAAAAAATGTTATAAAATAATCAGTGAAAACTTCTAAATGTTTTTTTCTTATTATTACTTCACATGATGTTTGACCTTCCCAGTGCAGAATGATGTGCTGTTGAACCCTAAAGGCTGTTTTCAAATGTTTCTGCTGAAAAGAGAACGTTTTCTTGCCCTAACTTTGCAGCTTAAACAAGGTGTGGTGATTTCTCTAAGAATGAACTTTTCACTTCACTTTATAGAGACCTTTTGCAAAGTAGTTTCACTTTTGAAATGTAGGAAGGAAAAGAGGTGCTTATGAGAAAATAGACTAACAATTATTCGAAGCAGATCATTTATATGTATTATTAACATCTGGAGAGGATCTTTTGAGGCAAAGTAACATCTATGATGCTATAGTATTATGCAAGTACAAAGTAGTATGCTTTTTTACGTGTCAGAAAGAAATGCGTTTTATATTTTCAAAAAAAAAAGAACAAAGTTTAGGAGCTTCAAAATCTTTTTTTGAGACTTTCAACTAACTTTTGCCCATGTATTAAAAGAAAACATTTAAATATTGATATCATTTTAAAATTAACATTACAGCAAAACTTTTATCGCCGGTAGCAAATGTGAATCTCAACCTTGCAATATCATTACAAGGGATTTTCATAAAAGATAAGGAATTTTAATATGTATGGCTTGTCCAGCCATATTTACAACCAAGCAGAACAAAACAATCCAATCTCCAAAGCACAGTCTCTACTGGTGATGCAAATACATGTAAATGTGAAACAGATGCTGTGGGTCGGACTTACCGCTGCCATTGTAAGAAGAGTGAGGATTTTCAAACTGGAGGTGCAGAAAGCTACAACAGAATAAAAATATGATGATCATTTGTCACTTGCACAAGGACCTGTTAATAACACAAAAAACGAATGAACTGCAGGTTAGGGGTCACTTAACTGGTGACCCTCATTCACGTCAATCAATATTGTTTGCAGTTCATCCTCTCAGAGGATTCCTGTCACACTAATTTGGTCATTGGCTCTCTTTTGTTCCACAACCGTTCAACGTCTCAGGGGTAGTATCATTTAGCTGGTGTTTGTTTAGACACACCTGTAATTACTCCACTGAGGGATCAGATAGTGGCGTTTCCTGCAGGTAGAGATCAACTTACCCATTGGCATACATTTCATTTGTTTGTCAAAGTGGATTTTGGGTATAAGAATACCCTCAGCTCAAACATATTACAAGTTTAAGTTGCTTATTATAGACAAAAATAAGACTCTAGTCAACATGTTCTTGATGAACAAAGTGTCCAGAAGTCTGTTAGTAGCAGAGGCACACCTGAGTGGTTTGTGATGTAAATACAGGCAGGTGACTCCTACAAACACTTCAGACCATGTGTATGGACCAGTGGCCACACACCGTAAATAAACACAAAGTGAATCATGTTTCCAAAACACAACGTTAAAACTGTGAATTCTTCTTCTGAACAAACACAAGCACTAACCCTGTTATTAGCTCCAGTTATATAGCAGTATACAAATATTGTATCAAGTTAAGTTTGGAAATGTGTACGCTGTTTATTTGTAGGGCTTTAAGGTTATTAACATATGGGATATATACACACTTGATTTCTTAATAGTGGGCATCTCGAATTAGTCATTTAGTATTCAGGTTTACCGTTTTTCTTATTTCAAAGCAAGTGATAATATCTAACGTCAGCGAGTTCATTTGAAATTGAGCAATAATAGGAAAGGATAGTCCTCTGTACACTAAAAGCTAAGGCTGAAAAACATATATACCCAATAATTATGTAGGCTATCACAAGTTATAACTGTAAATTAAATCTATGCCCAAAATACTTAAAATTCCACACTACAGTTATTCAAATGCAATAAAGGGATTGAGGAAGCGGAGCACTGAGCAGTTTAACAGTGAACTTGGCATGAAGTTAGTGGGCACACCCTGCAGATACTGTCTGAGCTCTTCTGCCGAATCATACCGAAGAACTACCGCTCAGAAACCCCTCTGAACCATGACCAACCTGACCCTGAAGGACACCTTACCTGAGCTGGAGACGAATTTCTTCGCGGGATTCCCGACAAGAGGTTATTGTGTCAGTATACCGGAAAACTAAACCTTATAATTTACAGCTGCTCTCTGATGTCCCACCCACTTGGATTTTAATTTTTTACAGGATCCGCCTTTAGAGTCCACGTCACACAAGGTACTGCTGCATTCAAGGGATGTCGGAGAAAATATTTTAGACTCTATTTTTTACCTTGATACATGTACTGAGTGGCTGCTTTGGTTAATTTAAATATTAAGATGATCGTATTCAAAATATAAAAAAGCAATGTAAATGTATCATAGAGGTAAAGGTCACATATCCAGCTCATAGGCTTCACCTGCAGATTAAGATTAAGTTTACAATTTAACAGTTTTCATCTTAAAGTGATAACACTACTTGTTAGAAATACTTAGCCACTTGCAAAGCTAGATGTACTTACAGTACATGATTTGGGTTTCTTCCTATTCCTTAATGTTTTTGATGATGTCAATTCTGAAATTCGCAAATTGAAATTAAACTTAAATTCAACGATTTTAATCGCAGTATTTAAAATGGTTGGTTATTGGTTTTTGAGCACGTTTATTGTTACCCCCCACACACACACACACACACACACACACACACACACACACACACACACACACACACACACACACACACACACACACTGTGTCAAATACCTCAGGTGGGGTTCAAACCCGTGTCTCACCACCCTAGGTCAGCGTCCTTCTCCACTGGACCATTTTTGGCGAATAAACTCATCACCTTCAATAAAGTTTGAAACATAACATATATATAATAATTCATGTGTGCCTATTCCAATAAAACCCCTTGATGAGTAAGGTCGCATGAACTCAAATTAAAAGCTAGACAAATAATGTTAGTAAGGGTGTTTGAAAAAGACTTAAAGATAACCAATCCATTTATTGTAATATTAGCTTTATATTGTAATATAAACTGTTAGAAAAGTTTTAAAAAATGGATCTCGTTATACATTCACAATAGTTAAACTGGAGGAGGAGCTGCTCCACAGAAGGTTGTGAGAACAAATCCCTCACAGATAGATAGACAGACAGACAGACAGACAGACAGACAGACAGACAGACAGACAGACAGACAGACAGACAGAAAGAAGGAAACAAATACAATACATATTAAACATTAGCATTAGCAGCAAGTATAGTAAGATTACAATTCAACTGTAATTTGGTAATTAATTTATGGCTGATGTGTTTTCCTTCCATGAACCCTCCGAGGATTGTTTCATAATGATGTTTCTTATTATAAACAGCCTGTGCTGAATGAACCTATATAGTTATTCAGTCTTTTTTTTTTTAAATACACAGACTTTATTGTGGTAATTTGGTTTTGCTAAAATGTTTCAGAGTTGGGAAGTCGGTCTCAACATGGGCAAGAGTTGTCAGACTGACATGCATGATAAAGCAATCATCAGCTGCAGTCATATCAATATTGTTAAAATCCTGATTTTTTCTTTATTGCTTAAGTGGCAATAATCTACTGGTGTGATAGATACTTGATACTTTTACATTAGTATTTCTCTTCACAAAATATGAAAATAAGCTTTATTCTGATACACATTTTTAGAGAGAAACAAGTGAAAAAAAAGTAACTTGTAACTTTTTGTGTTAAAATAAAGCAGTGGAGTAAAAAGTACAATGTAGTGGGGCATAAGTATAAACAAGCAATACATGGAAAAACTCGAAAGAAGTAAAAGTACAAATATTCAAAAAAGTACAATACTTGAGAAAATGTACTTTGTTGCTTTTACCACTGTTATTACTGATAACCGAACTGAACTAGTGCTAAAGGGTGTTAAAGGTGTTCCTCATTTCTCGTATTTCCGGGCTGAGCGATAGGACTTGAACGCCCCATATGACCACATTCGCTAGGGGGAGGGGAGGCTGCAGCTTCGCTCTGAACTACAATACCCAGAACTCCGTCCGTGCGTCAACAGCAACAGCTAGGATGTTGCGATATCGCTGGCAGCCAAAGATTGCTGTGGTTGCAGAGATTAGGTTGCTGGGTTGAAACCTCTGCCTAACGTTTTGGTAGATGTCAAATTGTGTGTTGTTTTATATGCAGTCGCATCAGACGGAGGATTACGTTGTCTGTCGACTCCGCGCGTGCTTGTGTTTGTCAATGGCTGCAGCGGCGCTAACACGTTAGCTTACAACAAAATCACAGTTTTAATCTAAATGGGAGCAATTAAATAGCTCGACGGGCAGCTATGTGCCATCCAAAGGCGGCTTCACTTGACTGAGGATGGAAAGATTGTTCCAGGTATCGCTAACACACAAGTCACACGTCGGATACATCGCAACATAAGACATTATCTTCACAGGATAACCTGGATAACCTTACACGAAATGTCATAGCGCGTTAAGTAGCTAGCACTTAGCTAGCTCTGTAATGGCTGGGCGAGATGGAGAAGGAGCTAATGTTATCATCATCAGCAGCCGACCATGAACAGCTGGATGGATAGCTAAAGAAAGACTTTCTCCGGAGATGCTTTAGCCTCCTGGGTGGTGTAATTCACTTACATAACAAGCGAGTCGCAACCGCTCTAGCTATCACCAACTGGCTTGTGTTTGGCAAGCAAATGAGATCTGCAATCAACACATCTGTCAAAATCACAAGTGACGAAGGCATCCCTGCATGGTTTGAGACTAAAAGTAGACTCGTCCGATTTTAGGTGCACATTCTGACCAGCATTTATATATCAGTGCAATAATTCATTGCACAGGAAACAAGCCCTTCATCTGAGTGATTGACACACCTCCTGTCAGTCTGACAACATGAGGAAGTTCTTTGATTCCCGTCGGGAGTTGGTGAGTTCCGGGCCCGGTTCTGGAGGGGGGGGAAGCTCGGGGTCCAGTCATGCAGGCGGAAATTTCATTGGCAGAAACTTCACTGTCGGGCGGCACCAAGTCACTGTGGAGGAGATCATTGCTGAAGGTGAGAAGGGGTTGCGCAGGCCGAATGATGCCATTTATTGTAACCTCTATCCCTATATATTTAAATGCATGAGATTCAATTTAGAATATGATGTGTGTCCCGCAAGCCAAATACTTGAGTCACATGACAGGGCAGGCCGGGATGTAACCTTATGCCATCCCCACAGGCATGATGCATTAATGAAAAAAAGAGGCCTACTGCCTTTCTCAGCTTCACACTGACTAACACAACTGCTTCCTGTTTTATGAATCAGAAGTGTGATTGAAGAATGTGCATACCTATCTGGTGCAGAAAAAGCAGTTATTGTATCCCCTTTTTATTTTAATAAATGAAGGGTTAATGTGTAGTGCAATTGTTGTATTTCTTAATAGATACTGATGGTACGACTGTTTGGCATCAGCAGCACATTTACTGATAGTGACGTGGAGGCCTGTACTTGATTAAAAAGCAACTATTCACCATTTAAACCTTGGAATTTGGTATTCTTCTTTTTCTATTGTACAGTTTATCTGAGCATCATGTAAGCCAATAGTAGCATATGTGCTAAGACGAGTACAGTAACAATTACATGAGAGAATATGGTAGTGATGAACCTGCTATTGTCAAACATTCCTTTACTCTCATGAATTTTGATTGAACATAATCTTCTTAACCATAGGGTGAGATAATTACATCTCCTTGACAGTATGCAAAGCCCAAGAACCAACCAAAGAAAACACATGGTTATAAGTGTCTAGCAGAGAGAAGACAAATGTTATTTAGCCTGCCCCTTATTCAAAACAAAAACAAACAAAATAATGAAATATTTTGTCAATTACAGTTACTTGCCCTTCAATACCGACAGCAACATGAGACAAAGTGTGATAGAGCTACCGTGCCATACAATACTTTGTCGAAGAGAGGATGCAGTATAACCGCAATGTCTGCCTGAAACTGATGACCCTGTCACAAGTGAACTCGGCAAAGTGAATTTGTGGTCTGAGCTATACCAGATGGTTAGGCCTCAATGTAGGCCTCTACGTAAACCCTGCAGCAACGCTATGACTAATATATAACGCTATAAGGCTGCACCATTTGGTCCTGATTATCCTTTTTGATGTCCAAACCCAGATTACAACAGTTGTGGAAGTAATTGGGTGTCAAATGTTCAGCTACATTTCCAAAATGCACCAAAGAAAACTTGTGACGATGCTGTGATGCTGGAATTCCCCATATCTCTTTTACATTTTCTATTAAACCTGGCAATAATGTTTTAGTGTGCATCTAGATTTCGGGGGTTGTGACATTTCTTTATGTTTTCTTTCTCATCCCTTCAGGTGGCTTTGCAATTGTGTTCCTGGTGCGAACAAATCAAGGGGTGCGCTGCGCCCTGAAGAGAATGTATGTCAACAATGAGCATGATTTGCAGGTGTGCAAGTGCGAGATACAAATAATGGTGAGTTGATTCAATATTTCCCTGCTTGTTCTCACACAGTTCTCATGTGATCTGCCATCAGGGTCGAAACCACATGTGAAAGTAACAACTAAAAAATGTCAAACCCAAATTGTGCCTGGAAATAAACAAGAAATCTACATGTACAGGTTCTCTTTTCTCTAGAAAGGCAGAGAAGAGAACTGCTTATTGTGTGAGTCCAATAACCCAAAGATATATAGCTTAATGTCAAAGGAAATCTCCATTTTTGACTATCTATTTATTTATCGGTTATCAAAATGGTTGGCTATTATTTTTACGTTGATCAATTTGTCGACAAGCATTGAAGCTCTGCTGTCAGGAAATCCAAAGAACAAGTGGGTTCAGAACACACATGTCCGTTCTGTATTGATTCATCTGGTTCTTGGTGGGATTTGTTTTTGTTTTCATAGTGCTGTCTTACATGTTCCGCTCTCCCCCTGAGGTGTTTTGTGAAATGAGTCAAAGGGGTTATTTCCATGAACACCTTTCATCAGTGAGATTGTTCAAAGGTCCTGAAGCTCTGGTTGTTACCCTACACAGGTTCTCTAAGGCATGCTGCCGGGTTACTTGTATAAAATAACATAAAGCTGTCCCTTCTATTAATTTCATGGACAACACGCAGGTAATAAAAGAAGAGTAGTCCCATATAGCCTGACCTCTTGACCTGGTAAAAGAGCAAGAGCAGCAGATTTA